ATTGTAGAGGGAGGAATAAGGTCTAGAAGAGAAAGAAAGATGAAAGAGAAGCTGATGAGCAGTAGTCCTGCCTTCCCTAAAGACATGAGGTCATGAAAATTGGTTCAGGCTTTGTTGGGAAAGGAGCCCTATCCTAGTCCGGTTATAGGCTGTATTGTGGTCATTCTTCTTTAAAAGATCCCAGAGCATTTTATTGGTTAAGAATTTAATATGATGAGACTAAGCAGTTGCTTTCTGAAATTCTGCTACTTCTACAGTGAAACAGAATGAGATAAATACAGCAATATTATTGATTGAAACTTCTTAGCAGAATTAAGAAGAATTTACAAAATGTCCTTTTGTTAGTAATACATATCAGTGCATTTATGGGTGAAATGATACAATGTCTGATGTCTGGAATTTATTTTTAAATACTCCAGGAAAGAAAAGTGAGTGGAAGAGAAATGAAACAAAATCAGCATAATGCTGGTAATTTTTGAAGCTGAGTGAGGGGTTTATTCTTCTATTCTCCTTTTGGGTATGTTTATGAAATTTCTGTAATAGAGTGAGGGTTTTTTTTAAGTTTAAAAAATGGAGGGGAAAAAATTAAATACAGAAGTAAAATGAGCATCACAGCTTCCAGTATATAACAAAAGTAGCTTTTTGTCTGTAGCCAGTGTTACCATTTCACATTGCAGTGGTTGTCAGAGTTTAGGCTTTTCCGTGGAACCCAACAGCAATTCCAGGTCTTAGCACAGTGTGCTGAAAACTGAATGTATTTTCCCTAATATATTTATCTATAATAGTTATGGGAGTGTATATGGTTGGCGGTAGGGGACACAGTGATTTCCTCTCTTTTCTTTGGGGCAAAATTATGAAAATCAGGGATAGGATGGGATAATAGGGGACTGCTTTTCAGTGCTGCTTCTTCCCAGGGGCATTCGTTTCGTCATGAACAAGATCCTCCTCTCCACCCATCAAATACTTCTTAGCATCTGTGGGGTCTTCTGCCTAGCTGTAGTGGTCCTCAAAAAGGAAAAAAGGAGTGGAGGATGGCTTTCTTGGGTAGTATTAGAGCATCTGTCTGTTCCTTTGGGTCTGGGAGCAGCCAGGTGTCAGCTGGGCCCTTTATCTCTAACCTTTGGTCCTTGTCCAGCGCCCCTTGACCACCAGTTGCACCACAGTTAGTTCCATTCGGCAAAAATAAATTGTAAACTTGTTGACATTTTTGTCCTCTTTACAATTTATTGTTTATTTTTCCATGACTGAGAATTTTGATGCAATTATCACTGAGCTTTCTGACAAAAGGGAAATAGCTGAGGAATTTTGATGAGTTACCCACTTCATTAATCAGAACAAGCATCTCTAGTGACAGGGTTAGAATTACAATGAAGATTAGATAGCAAATTGCTGCTCCACCTAACGTCAATCATTCCCAGTGACAGCAGTGTGATTACACTTCAGGGAAGAGCTTTTCTTGCCAACAAAACGAGGGTAACTCCAGTGCAGGTAATAAATTTAGCAGGGTGAGCTGTCATTTCTTCTCTTGAGTGGATTCCTTAATGACCAAATGATGTCTCGTGGAAGATTTTGATTTTGAAAGGAGAAAAGCATTTCACTTAAAAACTTTCTAAATTTCACTTTGTAGTATTTTATTTTAAAAATTATTGTAGATACGTACTTAGGAGCAGTTCTTCCTACAGTGATTTTCAGTATTTTACTTACCTGTAACAAGCCTTAATTATCACCACAACTATAATAAAGAGATGGTAGAAGTTACTAAAAGAACGCATGACTGTATTTGAGAATCTATCAGAAATAAAAACATGGTGCAGAAATAAATGAACTAGGTAAGAAATGCAGGAAGGTCAGACTAGTTGTCCACCTAGTTCAAACATTAAGTTCTCTGGCTTAAGCAGAAGGTGTTCCTCTTCTGACCAGTTGTGGTTTTAAATAATAGTTCTTGTTTCAAAGAGCAAAGGGATAGAGCACTGCTGTAGTTCGAGTGTAGAACTGAAGAGGAAAAGCAGGCCTGAGCGCTGCAGGGACGCCACTTGGGGGAGGGTAATAGGAAATGTGAATAGATGGTGACTGAACCATGCCACTTCTTGTCCCTTCTAAGTAGGAGTGGAGTGCTAGCATCTTCTCCCAGAGAAGACAGGACCGAGAATGTTTTCCTTTCCCAAGTATTTTTCTCCAAGCACATTTATGGGACTCCTGTTTGCCTAAATAATGTTTGCTGTCAGTCAAGAATAACTAAGTGGCTATTCTTGATTCATACTTTTATTTTTTTAATTTAATTTAAATGGGATTGCTCTTTTGAGTAGGCAGGAAAAAAAAAACAATGGCAAGTTGATTTCAAGAAAGCAGTTACTGTATGAGTATGTCACTTTGCTGCTATTAACTTCTGTGTAGCGAAACTGAATTATAGACCTTCAAAACCGATCATTTTGCTCTCACAGTCTAAACTTAAGTATTTTTAAAGAAATATATTGACTATGGCATTTACAGACTCAAATTTTCCCCCTCTTAAATTCAGATATTTTCCAGCAGTGCTTTTCTACTGTAGTAAGTTGTATATCAAGTTCTTTCTGTTTCAGAAAAAAAGCAAGTAATTTGTTCTTCCTCTTTAAAAGAGACTTTTTGCCTAGTAGATTAGGGTCATCAGGATGCCTGAATGTTTCGGATTTAGCCTTAGGTATACCACTAACTCTTTGCTTTGTGAATATAGTCATTATCTGTTCTCTATTTGAAGTTTGGCTTGGTAAGGTAAATCATAATATCTGCAGCCTCTCTATTTTGTAATGATGGTCTCTGAGTCAATAAAATAGTACATGTGAAATGCTTTGGACTAGAGAAAAAAAATGTGGAAATCCAAGAAGGACACTATTAATAGTGCTATTATTGTCAAGGTGGATTATGTTTGTACTATTTCATCATTAGAAATATTCCAGGAGTTAAAATTAGAGATAACTACCCATACATAGACTATTTCATCAAGTCTTTTAAGAAGAATCTCTTATGCTCTGAAGATTTAAATTGTACTCTAAGAATAAATAAATATATCCCATGCCAAAAAAAAAGAGGGTGCTGGTATCAGATGGAGAGTTCTATTAAAAAAAAAAAACAAAAAACGAAGAATCTCTTAAATGAATCTGGTAAATAGATAGATTTTCTTTTGACTATGGTGCACAGGTTAACAGTGTTCTTTTTTTTTCCCATGCCGTATTTTGTGGGATAGATAAGCAAATAATAATGCAAAAAGCATACCCTCTCAACCAGGAAGCTGTGTGTCTTTTCCTTGTTATGACTGAAGGCATATCTTATATTCAGCAAATTTCCCTTCATTCATTTCTCCCTTCCTCCCTGTTCTCTTGCTCTCTCCCTCTTTCCC